GCGGTTGCAATTAATGCCCGGATTGTTGTCATTTTCACCATAGGAGAGAAAGTTTCATTGTAATCTATTCCAGCTTTTTGAGTGAACCCTTTTCACAACTAATCTTCCTTTATATCTTTCCACTTCCCCATTAGCCTTGTATTTAACCTTGTAAACCCATTTGCAACTGATGGGCTTCTTTCCTTTAGGAATATCAACTAAAGTCCAAGTGTTATTAGCTTCAAGTGCTTCAAGTTCCTTATTCATGGCTTCTTGCCATTCAGGGATTGATGCAGCTTCATCATAAGAAGATGGTTCTATGATCTTAGACATATTGTGAAAAGATTGTTGGCTCTGTTCAGATAAAGAACTAAAACATACATGTTTGGGCTGATGAGTGTGTGTGACAGTGTGTATACATGATGCAAAGTGAGGACAAAAATCATCTAAATTTGTAACAGAGGCATTGTTACAAATGTAGTCCTTTAAATGGGCAGGGGTAATAGGAACTCATTCAGATCTTCTAGGAACAAAGTTGTTAGTTGAATTTTGAACTGGTAAAGGAGAAGAGGATGGATCAGGTGATGAACTGATACTATCTTCAAAAGGAGATAGACTTGGTTGTGGTGAAAACACAGGGGTAGAATGGTCATTGTGAAGTTGAAAAGGGAAAATATCTTCATGAAATACTACATCCCTGGAAATAACAATCTTCTTGGTTTCCAAATCATACAATTTGTAAGCTTTCTTTCCAAATGGATAACCAATAAAAATACAAGGTATTGATCTTGGTTGTAGTTTATCCCTGTTATGTTGTAAAGTATTAGCATAACATAAACATCCAAATGTTCTCAAATGGTCATAAGAAGGTTGAGTACCATAGAGAAGTGAGAATGGAGATTTACCATGAAGGATTTTCGAAGGGAATCTATTTATAAGAAAAGTAGCAGTTAAAACGCAATCTCCCCAAAATCTAAGGGGTAATTTGGACTGAAAAAGAAGAGCTCTGGAAGTTTCTCACAAGTGTTTGTGTTTTCTTTCAACAACTCCATTCTGTTGATGGGTATATCTACAACTTGTTTGATGAATGATACCTTTTTGTTGTAGAAAAGAAATCCCTTCATTACTTGACCCCAATTCAAAAGCATTGTCGGTTCTTAAGACCTTTAATTTTCTCCCAAATTGGGTCTCAATCATTTCAATAAATCCTTTGATTTCCTCAAATGCATTGCTCTTTGTACTAAGTAAATGAGTCCATGTAGCTCTTGAGTAATCATCCACAATGGTCAAAAAGTATGAATGATTATCATAAGTTTTAGTGTGATAGGGGCCCCATGTATCAACATGAATCATTTCAAAAATTGTTAAGTATGAATAGAACTAATGGAAAATGGGAGTTTGTGTTGTCTAGCTTTAGAACAAACTTCACAAGAATCACAAGAAGTATCAATGAAATGTGATTTATTAAGCAAATCAAGAGTTTTTAACTTGTACATAGGAAGATGGCCAAGTCTTTTATGCCAGACAGATACAGAAATTGTTTTAGAAACAACATTACAAGATGGAAACAAAACGGATGAATGAAATTTTGGTGTTGAAGTAACAGAAAGTACTACTCCTTCATTGCTATTGGAAGTTGATTGAAGAAAATAGAGCCCAGCACAATGTCTACCAAGAACCAGAGGCCTCTTCTAAGAAGGGCCCTGCAACAAGAAACAAGAATGTTCTGAAAAAACAACTAAAGATCTTAATTGTCTGCACAATTTGGCTATGGAAAGAAGATTGAATTTGAATAAAGGGACATAAAGAACATGATGAAGTATAACAGATTCGGCTAAGACAACACTCCCAAACTCATGAGCATTAGTTTGTTGACCATGTGGTAAAGTGATACGATAAGGATTTTTGAGCTTTTGAATATTAATAAGAGCAGATTTATTGAAACACATATGATCATTGGCCCCTGAATCTATTATCCAAGTCATTGTATTAGTTTCAAGACAATGACATTTAATTGGATAATCAGAAATATCTTGGGAGAATAAAGCATTACCAGCCAAATTTGCAAAGACTTGTGGAGATTCTTGTCCAACATTGTTGTCATTAAGCTTGCTCAATAGAGAACACAATTGGTGATACTGATCATTGGAGAGTTCTTGCATGGAATGAGTCGAAGTTGAAGACTCTTTAGGACCATCTTGTGATGTAAATTGACCAGAAACATTAGCAACAACCTTGTTCTTGTTGAACTTAAAATCCTTTGGGAATCCAATCAGTCTATAACATTTATTGGTTGTATGACCACTTTTCTTACAGAAAGAACATGATAGACCCTTCTTGTTCTCATTTGTGGATTTGAAATTGTTTGTTGTAACATTGGATCTTGTATTCATTGAAGCAGATTCAGGAAAAAAATGTGATGGAGATTTACCTCACGTTGCTTCTCATCTTGAATGAGAAGAGAATAGGCCTTGGTAATTGTGGGAAGAGGATTCATCATCAGAATACTTCCTCTAATAGCACTGTAATCTCCATTTAGTCCCATTAGAAACTTGATAAGCTTTTGATTTTGTTGAAGTTCTTGCATCTCATGAGCTGCAGAGCAAGTACAGTTGGGAATGATCGAAAGAGCACTTAATTCATCCCAATATTTCTTCAATTTTGTGAAATAACTAGCCAAATCGCTAGTTCCTTGAGTGAGATCTGAAATTTCCTTTTGAAGTTGATACAGTTTTGCACCATTCGATTGACCAAAACGATCATTAAGATCTTTCCAAACTTCTTCATCAGTGGATGAATAGAGAACAGATTCAACAATGTCACTAGAGAGGACATTCAGAATCCATGACATCACCATGTCATTGCATCGTTGCCAGAGATCAAAATTGATGTGATTCGTGGAAGGTTTAGTTACTTTACCATTGACAAATCCCAATTTGTTCTTTGCTGATAGTGCAATTGTAATCGCCTTCTTCCACGATCCAAAATTTGGATCCATCAAATTGTTTGGTAACTAATTGCATACCAGGATGATCTGAGGGATGAAGATAGAGTGGATCTAAAGAAGTAATTTGAGTTCTAGCGGAATTAGAACTTTCAGGTACTGTTCCAGTCGACGCCATTGAAGCAACAGATGAAGAAGACGAATTAAACAGATCTTAATGAAAAAGATGAATCAAACTTTGAGCATGAATCAGATTCAGCTCTGATACCATGTTGATTTTGGTATGCACATGAACATGAAATGTAGAGAGAGAAAGAAGAAGAAGAGAGATGGAATCTGTTTTCTTATTATTTCTCTGTTAACTAACTGATTGCATCTTACAAGTAAAGCGGAACATTAATACAAGCTAATCACTAACAAACTTGATATAGAAGCTTAACCAACTATCAATCACGTGATAAACACATGAAGTTATTAACAAATAGTTGTTAAGACTAACTGATATACCAACAAGTTAACAGACGAAATCTTGAATGACAACTTAATAAAAACATCATGAGTTTCATGGAACATGTACATATACTTTATTCTCAATCTATCTTCCATGAATTTGTACTGATTTAAAGGTTTTGTGTAGTCACACGCAGACACGCTTGATGAAATCTCAAAACCTACACGGGAGAGCATGGTTGAGTCTCCAACATTTGATTATATTTTTGCGACTATACCATCGTCCAAGTACAAGATAAAAGTGAAATATGGGGTATCTTTCGGTTATCAAAGAAGACATGCAAAAAAATTTATTGCTTTGGCTCTCAAAAAAAAATCTACATAGAAACATGGTCATACAATTTTCGGACGACTAAATGAAGAAGTCATAAAGCGTTATTCATGAAAGAGCAAGCCATATTTTTTTAATTTGCTATATTGACAAGTAAGCACATCCCAATCATTTATCGAGCTTGATTCCACTGAGAAATTCATGGCTATGCTCACTATGTATGAAAACAAGAAATAATTAACTATTTATGTGACAACAAAGAATAACATCTGGTCAAATAACCTCGGCTTCACTAAACCTCGGCTTCACTAGTGAATGTGAACCCATTAACACATGCACTTTTGAGTGATCGTTTTTTTGTGAAAATATGTTTTTTTTTGCAACTATTATATTGATTACAGACAAGAATCTTATGTAAAGAAGCCGTAGCAACATGAAAATGGTAACATGGATTGTAAGCTCACTATGTATGAGAACTTCATTAAAAACAAACAGGGAGTACAAATGCCCCAGCGATCCTTGATGTTGAGATGTTTTAAGAACTATATCACACCCAAATTCTGATGGAAAAAAGATCACACATCAGAAATGTAGAAGATAAAACCTTGAATCAAAGTCTCTCCTCTTGATTTCTTAATTTGCAAATGTGGAAATTAAATTCTTCCTCTTCGAAATTGAAATTGAACATGCAATTATAATTAAACAAGTGTGGGTTAGGAAAATGGTGGAATGAGCCTTGTTCGTGAGTGAAAGTGCGACATTAAATGCTTCATTGTTTGATCGAAAGTGAACGACAGTGAGCTATATGCTTTTTGCAAACATCAATGGAGGTTTAGGAACATGTATATATGCTCACGTGATGGGATTCAAGGGTTACTGACAATTTGGTCAATCCTTTTCTTTAATATATTTAATAGTGGTAGTTTGGTCAAAGAACTTTTTCTTCTTAAGTTACAATGTTTTTAAGATAGGTAATTTGATTATAAATGGTTAAAAAATGATTTCTAGGTTATAACTTATAACAAATACACTCCCCATCCCAATCACCCAACACCATCTTTTCAAGATATAAATAAAAATTAATAAAACAACACCTCCTGTTTTACACAAAAACATAAAACACACAAAATAAAATAATCCAACATTTTAACAAATCCCATATTAAACAAACAAGAACTAACCACTTCTAACATCTCCTATTCGACTTATAAAACACGTCCTATCCCCTCCCCTCCCCTCTCCTCTTTCCTTCACCACCATCTCCTATCTTTCACATATCACCATTTTGTATAATAATAATAAAATAAAAAATAAATAAAAAAAAAAAAAACAAAACAAATCCAAATTCAACATAATATATACTCCCACCATAATATAAAAAAACCATCGCTTTCCATCAATCACTCAAGTCAAAACTATCACTGCGAGAGCTACTAGCATTTCGGCTGTGTAAAGAGAGGCCCCTCATGTGTCCACCAAGGGCAGAACCGTCATTTTTGTTTTCTTGAAAGAATTTCTCCCTTTCAACATGTTTTGCAGGCGGCGGTGGGATTGTCACGGCGGCAGACGGGCGGGTTGTGGCGGCGGTAGTGGTGGTGGTGGTTGGTTCTTGTTTTGGCTCCAAAGTGAGTGGTCTGTTAAGCCTATCTGGTGGAAAAGACGTTAATACCCCTAATGGGCGATCTGTTTGGTGGTTTTCAGCTTCGGGTCTTACGCGCGCTTTTCCTTTCCTCATCCTGTTAAGTTTGCAATTTCTTAGTTTTTATAAAACTTTGGGTTAATATCATAAAAGACCTATATATTGTTTTTTTTTCCGAATTAATCCCAACTTTACCTTTTTCCTAAAAAAGACCTTGAATTTTTCTATTTTTACCGATTTGGCCCTTTTAGTAGGTTTACCCATAATCTTCCAGTTTTAAACAGTTTTTCCGAGAAAAAAAAAAAAAAAAAAAAAAAAAAAAACCCTCAATTTTTTATTTTTTTCCAAAAAATCCTTTGCATTTGACAATTTTTTTCGAAAAAAAAAAGTTGAGGGTTTTTTCGGGAAAAAAAATCTAAAACCATAAGATTACTGGCAAACTTGCTAAAATGGACAAATAAAATAAAGGGTTAATTTCATAAATAACCTTATATTTTGTGGCTTTTCCAAATTAAACCTCAAAAAAAATTTTGCCTGAAAAACACCTTGTATTTTTCATTTTTTCCAAAAAGCCCTCAACTTTGTATTTTTTTCCAAAAAAAACCCTCAAAATTCTATAACTGCTTCCAAATAAGCCCTCACCTTTTTTAGTTTTTCTCGAAAAAACCTTCACATTTTACAAATTTTTTTTGGAAAAAAATAACTAAAAGGGCCAGATCGGAAAAAGTGAAAAAAAAAAAAAAAAAACAAGGTTTTTTTCAGGCTAAAAATTAATTTGAGGTTTAATTAGGAAAAAACACAAAATATAACATCTTTTATGAGATTAACCCCTTTTTTTCCAAAAAAAAAAACCCTCAATTTTTTATTTTTTCAGAAAAAACCCTCAATTTTTTCATAAAAAAACAAAAGTCAAGTGTTTTCCAAAAGAAAAAAAGAGTATAAAATTGGAAGATTACTCATAAGCCTTCTAAAAGTGCCAAACCATAAAAAATGAAAAAATGCAAGGACATTTTCAGGAAAAAAAAATAAAGTTAAGGTTTAATCCGTGAAAAAACCTAATGTATAGGGTCTTTTATGATAATAACCCTAAACTTTTTAAAAAAATATAAATTAAATAAGTTGGAAATATAAATATGAGTAAATTACTGAAATGGTCCCTATGGTTTGGTCAAAATTACACGTTTGGTCCCTAACTTTTTTTTTGCACTTGGATCATCCCTGTGGTTTGATTTTGTTGCGTTTTTCGTCCCTTACATACATAAAGTTAGGGACCAAACGTGCAATTTTGACCAAACCATAGGGACGATTTTAGTAATTTACTCTACAAATATACCTTCTGAAGAGTTGTTCAGGGTCTTCTTCTTCTGGATCTTCATGGTCAATTTGGTTGACTGCAGGTGTTGGTGTATCTGAAATAAGATTATCATGTCTTGAAAGTGCTTTTTGAAGTTGATCATTTAATTCAATTGCTTGAGATATTGTCTTTTCATCCCTAAAAAAGAAAAATAAAATATAAATTAGCATCTTCATAATCATATTTTATTTCTTTTACATATATTATATAAATATTTATTGAAACATAAATCTTACCTAGAAGTAACTGCAAGATGCATAACTCGTTGTTTATGAAACGAACATTGTTCCACAAGATCCAGAGTGAACTCATCCTTAGCTTGCTAAAAAAATAAATTTAAAGTAACAATTAAATATTAAAATATTCAAATATTAAATAATAATTCAAGTATTAAACTTAAATACCTCTGGATGTCTAGTATCAATGGCATCAAGAACATCTCTCAACACTTCTAGTGCAGATCCAGCTTTTTGAATAATACTATTTCAAGAAGAAAAAAAAAATGGTAACAAAGATTCTCCAGACATAGAAAATTACTATTTTACCCCTACACATACCAAGAATCAGGAACAGCTTTTTGAATAATATTATTTCAAGAAAAAAAAAATGGTAGTAACGATAACAAAAATAAACCTTTAAAACCAATTACAATCTACAAAATTCTCTAGACATAGAAAATTACCATTTTACCCCTACACATACCTAGAATCAGGAACAGCTTTTTGAATAATACTATTTCACGAAAAAAAAAACGGTAGTAACAATAACAAAAACAAACCTTTAAAACCAATTACAACCTACAAAATTCTCCAGACATAGAAAATTACTATTTTACCCCTACACATACCTAGAATCAGGAACAACTTGTGGGACAGTTGGTGGAGCACTCCTATCATGTCCATTGATCACAACTTCACCATTACTTGAGTTACTTTTACTGCTGTCTGAAGCTGTTGAATTGTTTTTTGGAAGAACTTCAGGTGTTTGAGAGAATTGTACTCCAGCACTCTAACAAATTCAAAAAGTCAAAAGTCAAAAGTCAAGACAAAAGTCAACATAGTCTTATATATATATATATATATATATATATATATATATATATATATATATATATATATATATATATATATATATATACTTACCACTAAATCATAGTATGCAGAGTAATACTGAGGGAACCTTCCGGAAGCTCCACCAAGAGATGTTTGTGTTGCATCTAGAAGAAGAAATATCTTCTCTCGTACAGGTAGATTGGAGTTTGACTGAAAAAAGAGAAAAAAAAAGTTAATATGAAAAATGAAAAATGTTACATAACTTATAATTTATAAAGACTTGATATACCTTTTTCTTGACTATTTTAACAAGTACAGGTAGCAAGCCAGTGTCAATCACTTGTGTATGAATTGGTTCTCCAATATTATTCATCAACACCTCCAGCAACTGGGAATAAAATATTATAAAGATATAAAAAAATTGCTCTAAAGAAGTGAAAATGTTGATTATATTGTGTAAAAGGTAAAAACATGTGTTAAAGTTAAACTTACCATAACAGTAAATAGTTGAGTATCTTTGCTTTTGCTTCCCAAACGTTTTTTGATGGCTTTAATGACATCTTTAGCTTGCCTGTAAATTACAACAAATGAAAATGAAAAGTATATAAAACCTAAATTCATTAATAGTAGTAAAAATAAGGTGGAAAGTTGTATATGGTGTATTGATAATGTTCTTTCTTTGGTTTTTATATATAGTTTCCCTAAGTAAAAGAAAGCACACATTTATGACCATTCTTTTCTTCAATTATTATGGATACAAACATGGAAAGATTATTGGGGGAATATTAAAGAGGAAAGTTTCAATGCTATTTTACATAGTAAGAAACAAAGTAAATTTATATGCACAAAAAGAAAGATAAGATTTGGTTTTTAGTTTTTACCTATGATCATTTGCAACTAATTCACAAATCTCAATGCTTTTGGTCCAATCCATTTCTGAAAGTTTCTCACTTGTTGCTGCATTAACAAGTTCAGCTGCCATTTCTAATAGTATCTGAGGTGAACAAGAAACAGGAAAGAAAGTTCATCACTTGCAAATTTTAACATATCAGAAGAAAAAATTGTATCGGAGTAATTTGCCAGATAAAATTTGACCACACACAGATGATCAGATAATCTATAGGGAAAAGCTGATGAATACATGTTTCACCACAACCATTCATTTAGGATAAAGCTATGAGAACGTTTTGATATAGTATGATTACTGTTTTGACATCGATAAGTTCATCATCACTTCATAGCTATATAACATAATCTTTACTCCATATCTCTTCTCGTTTGCTTCCTCCGTTGCAGAAATTTAAAATTACTGATCAGTTTAACAGCGATGATGATAAAGATTTAACAAAATGCTTACCACATCAATTACTAAACCTAAAAAGCAGGTTTTTTTTAAGACCCATGTCAAATTAGCATAAATCAAACGAATTCATCGTTATCACCGAAAATCAAACCAATAAAGTGCAGAAAGAATCGAAATCAGAGCAGATAGCTTTGCAATCAAGCAATAGAACAGTTCAAATCATTAAAAAAGATAAATCAGAGCATCAATCTAAGTGGTTACCTTCAAAATCAGCAAAGAAGAGCAGTATACAGCTTGAAAGATGCTAAAACCCTAAGATCGCTTCAACATTCGATAATCAATTCATCAGAATCTCAAAGAGGAAACGGAAAAGCGTCTAGAGAAAGATGAAATACATGATGAATGTAGGTTAGAGAGAAAGAGAGAGAGAATACAGACAGATGGATATACAGATGTGTATGTGAAAAAGAAAAAAAAAATGTGTAGGGGTTTTGTGGGTGTGAAAATGGAGAGGGGTAAGGTAGGAAAAGGCACGAGGGTATGTCTTCTGAATTACATACACACTGACACACTGGATACAGCACAAGTAAAGCACTGATGCTGCTGTCTGATAGCGTCACCTGCGGGTTATTTTATTTGACACGCGTCCTTTTCATCGTCCTTTCCTTTTTCTTTTCCTTTTTCTTTTTCTATTTTTTTACTTTTCCTGTTAGGCTGTACCGATTTCCGCATCGCTTTTTTCGCATACATAATTGATGGAGTAAATTACAGTTTTGGCCCCTACCTTGGGCACTCGTTTGCTGCATAGTTCAACGAAAATAGAAAGTCTCAGATCAATGGGAGAGGCTAACAACCATCTATCTCTTCTAACCTCATTTACATAGTATAAAAGTATTCTTGTTGGTAAGTTTTTTTTTGGAATATCTATCACTAATCTAAAATATGATGGGTGTTATATTGTTGTCACCTCATCACCAAATACAATTATATTAGGTTGAGGGGTATCCTTACGCACGATTTGTGAGTGAAGATAATACCACATTATTATTTAACTATTCTACAACCAATCCATTAGGTTGTGAAAATTGTATTCACTACTAGAAACGCAGTAAATAGGCAAAAAGAAGAGAGAAAATGTGAGGCAAGGAAGAAAGAACCAATCAAATTGGTCGTCTTCCTCCGTCTTCGGTACCACGTCACAACCAATTGGTTGGCTAGCCACGTAGGATGTCACACGTTTAGTCCACCATACCGAACAGCCTTAGGTTGGTATATTCACTACTCCACGTCATTATATTTTTCTTATTTTTGATTCTTCAAATAAAAAAATAGTTTCTAATTATTTAAAATGTAAAGAGGTACGTAGTGAGAATTAAAGAGATATAGAGATAGAAAGAAACTGATCGATCGTTGTGTTTCGTCTTCCCCACCACAAAACACCACGACTACTACCGACCGCTAACCAATGAGGTGGTGTTCACGGATAGTGGTTGTTGCCAAGTGGACCACAAAGGTCTCTGTGATATGTATTCTAGTTAGCCTTGGTTCAACATGCGGTTTTTATGGTTTCAAATATTGTCCTTTATTTTAGTCTATATCATTGGAATTATCTGTTAAGCCTAATATAAAAAGATTTTTTTTTTACCTTTTTTAAAAAAAATAATTAAAATTATAAACTTTAGTGAAATAACTATATACAAATTTGTGAATATTCCTTGTTTTACTCTAGTCGGAGTGTTCTAGTATTCCTTGTTTTATATGTTAATGATATATTCCTCATACATTCTAGGCGTCAAGAATTATAGAGGTATATCTAGATGTCTTACCGGGTTAAGCCAAACTACCTACATATATAATATCTTGAAAAAATTCAAGATGTGTGACTCTAAGAAGAGGTTTATATCTATGCGGCATGTGGTTTAGCATTGAGCGGAGTTTAATGTCATTGTTTGACTGAGGAATTAGAAAATATGAGTTGCGTCTTGTATGTTGATGTAGTGGGATCAATCATGTATGACATGATATGTACTAGGGCTAATGTGTCGTGTGTTTTGAACATAATGAGTCGATATCATGCCAATATTGGAAAGGCTCATTGGATGGATGTCCAAGATAATTCTAAGTATTTAAGAATAACAAAATAGATGTACTTGACATATGACGTGAGAAAAAAAACTTAAAGTAGCGGGTTAGACGTATGTTAGCTTGCAAACCGATAGAGACGATTCATGTTTATAGTCATGACCTATGTTCTTATTGAATGAAGGAGCGCTGACTTGAAGGAGTTCCAAGCAAGATACCATAATTGATTCAACAATGGAGACCTAATATATTGCAGCTAACAAAGCCACAAAGGATGGTTGTTGATGAAGAAGTTCATTGGAGATCTTGGTGTGGTTCCAAGCATTAAAGATCCCATAGAGATCTATTATGATAATGAGGGTGTAGTCATTTTAGATAAAGAACCCATGTCATATAAATGCATATGACATATACTCAGGAAATATCATTACATTCAAAAGATTGTGGAAGAAATAGACATTACAGTCAAATGATCTGAATTAGAAGGGAATTTGGTTAATCCATTTGCCAACCTACTGTCACAGACGAAACATGATTTTGAGACTACGCCTATTGACATTAGATTTTCAAATGACTTGGCTTAAGCGATATTATTTTAGTAGATTTGATGTTGATGAGCTAAAACAATATGAAATTTTATTATGTAATGATTATTATGTAACATCTGTTTTCTAGATACGGGTTGTTTTGTGCTGAATTGATTAAGTGTTGATTTAGGGTTTTTGGAGTTAGTATGTAACTACTTCTAAGGGGTCAATACGCGAGCCACGTCGATAAGTAGCAACGTGACGAGTGTTTGGTCACGCCATGAAGCCGCCACGATGCAAAACCTCAGGTCTCGGGCCTTAGGTCCTATTTAATGGTGCTAACCTTTAGGGCTTCCCTTATTATTTAACTTCCTTCATCTGATACGAAATCCTAACCCCTTTTATGTTTTAAAGAGATTTGTGAAGTGTTGGTGAGGTGTTTGAAGAAGAAATGAAATTTATATACCTTGGAGGAGAGTTTTCCAGTGAAGAATCCACCTTCTTGTCACTTCTTTTGCATTGTAAGTCTCAGAAATCCTTGATTTATTCGATTCCATGCATAGATCTAAGTTTTAAAAGACTTTTTTTGTCACTTGTGGTCATTTTGATCTCATGTTCTTGGAGTTTGAGGATCTCCATAGCTATATCATGCAAATGGACATGTTTCTAACCTTTAGGAAGAAGAAAGATGAGTGTGCATGTGCCCTCTTTCAACCATGCACAATTTTACGAGCATTATTGGACATAATCAAGTTAGAGATGTAGATTTGCTAAGATCTAGACATTAGAATGGATAAAGTTAGAAACTTTATCCATTAAACCACTGGAAAGATTCAAATCTAAAGATTTAATCCTTAAGATGAAGAGATTAAGTAACTAAAGGGGTTCCACCAGTAGAATCACAACGCGACCAAGGATAGGTCGCGACACGAATGTTCGGATGAGTCAGCAACTTTTTGCCATTTAGTGGTTGTGACGCAACTAGAAGCTTGTTGATCATTGACTTTAACTAATCAACCGTTAACTTTGACCGGTTGGTTGTTGGTTTTTGACCGGTTTGACTTTAGGTTTGATTTTGTGGGATTAAGTTGTAGGAAGAGGGTTAACCTTTATTTGTTATCTAGGTGGTTCGTGAGATCGATTCTTATGAGTTCGTGAGTGTAGTTGTGATTCGTTAACTACCAGTTCAATTGAGTTTTCTCATTATACCATGTATAACAGTATACGTCCAGAGTATGGTAGGATGTTAGTGTTCTGTTAGTATGTGATTATGTACTAGACTAGGATAGTCTTGTATTAGCATGACCGACAGGTTTGATTGGTTGGTGTTATGATATATCGTAAATGATTAGATTGAGATTGTTGATAGGCTCCATGCAGGTTTCTACTCCTGATATCAAAGTGCAAAAGAGAAAGATGATCGTTAGTCGACGTCCGGGAGGAATTCCCGGGACGAAGCTCCAATGATCAAGTTAGAATGAGGCTCGAGAGAAGTAAGAGTAAATTACAAGAAAAAGAGTCTCTTCCCTTTCTTCATGAGGAATAAGATCCTTTTATACCTATTTGAGAGGCATGTGCCTCTCAACTGATTCTGTTAAGCATTCCCTCGTGAGGTGCAATGTGGCGGACACATATTGGAGGATCCTTCGTCACGTATTTTTGCCTCATCCCCTCATTGGCTAGAGGGGAATCTTTAATATTATGATGACTATGGCTATCATCATATGAGCATGTGTAACTCTCTGATTGGTCCCACGTTTATCAGGGTGTTATTCCTTAGAGAAGAGGTTAAGGTACAGTTCTGCACCTTAATCGCCATACCAGTGATCTTCGCATTGGCGAAGTCCCAACCTTGGCCTCGGACTGGGCCTAACCGGGTTTTGACCATGCCAAGCTTGGCATTAGTTAAACTTCTCCTTTTTTGACGTTCTTCCTGAGGGATACGTTAACAAGTCCCTTAGGCATGTAGGTGTATGCGTCGGATTGATAGCGTCGTCGTTCGAGCGTATATATCAACACGTGTATGTCTGAGATTTATTCTAGCGTTTGACATGCTTTAGACAACGTCGTCAATATGTGTCAGATCCATCCCGAGACGGTTCGTGACGCTCGTTTTTTCTTTAAAATCCCCTCTTTTCCCAAGACCTTTCATCAGACCGAGTAGTTCGTCGCGGGGAGCACCGATACTGTTCGTCGAGAAGAAGGATGGCTCACAACGGATGTGCATTGATTAACGGGAGTTGAACAAGTTAATGGTGATGAACCATTATCCCCTTTCGCGGATTGATGATCTCTTTTACCAGCTGCATGGTACATCTTGGTTCTCCAAGATCGAATTGAGGTCGGGGTATCATTAGGTGAGGGTAAGAGGGGAGGACGTGGATAAGACCACGTTTCGGACTCGTTATGGGCATTACGAGTTTGTGGTGATGCCAGTTGGGCTCACCAATCTGCCTGTAGTGTTTACGGGTTTGATGAATCGGGTGTGCATGTCGATGCTCGACCGTTCTGTTATCGTGTTCATTGATAATATCTTGGTGTATTCCAAGACCAGAGAGCAACACGACGATCACCTTCGAGAGCTTCTGGGAGTGTTGAGGAAGGAACGGTTGTATGCCTAGTTCTCGAAGTGTAAGTTTTGGTAACGAGAAGTCCAATTCCTGGGATATCTCGTTAATCAAGATGAGATTTTGGTCGATCCGGCCAAGATCGAGGCTGTGATGCAGTGGGAGGTAAAGAAATCTCCCTCATAGATCAGGACTTTCTTGGGTTTGGCGGAATACTGTTGGAGATTTATTCAGGATTTCTCCAAGATCGTGGTACCCCTCACTCATCTGGCAAGGAAGGGAGTGGATTTTCGATGGTGCCCTGAGCGGCAGACAACAATTGGGATTCTACGGCGGAGGTTATGTGAGGCCCCAATATTGACCTTGCCAGAGGGTGTAACGAAGTGAAATTTTCAAACAAAACTTTCATTTTTAAAACATTAAATTCTCATTTCACCATCTCAAAACACAAGTATCCAAATTCACATCACAATGTAATACACAATCCCAAAATCATAAAAAAAACATCTCCCGCCAGTGTGTACAATCATGTCGGTGCCTTGCCGCGATCCTCGGA